TCGATTGTGCACAGTCGTTCGCCTTCGTTGTCGTTTGTTTGAACCTTTTCAACTTGAATGAAAAACCTCACTCGGTGATCTCCTCATATACAAAGTGGTTTTATGCTAACCACCTCTTGGTAGTGATAACACGCTTGTGTTCTCCAGGTACCAAAAAAGACATTCTCTGGGTACCGGAGAAGAGGTATTTTACTCGGCATCCGTGTGTATGAACATGTGTTGAAGTTTTTCACCAGCTTCATGTTGCGGGCTCAGTCAACTAAGAAAATATGAGTTACGCTGTTTTCGACATTTGTCATGTTCAAGTAAATCAAATCAAATAGCATAACTTTCGCGTGTAGTGCAGTGGTTAGAGGTCTCGTATGACACACAGTTAGTCGTTAGTTTGGTATTCATTAAAAGACTCACCCAGCCTTCTATCACTTTGAGGTCGGCAGATTAGTAGCAGACTTATCTGTGAATATAGCAGCCCGATCTGATACAATGATGGACTATCTCAAGCGATATGATAGATCAGGTATTCATTCAATTATTTCTAACGATATTTAATGAAGTCTCATATAAAGCTCATCTCTCAGGGACTGATCAACGCTGTGAGTTTTACATTCATCCTTTTTTATTACTGTTTTATCATTATAACTAACATTCTGTCATTGTTATCGACTGAAAATTTCGTACAATCATCCTGTTCGTTGTACAGGGCGGATAACAATTTAGCGATAATTATTTGTTTATGATGTATTGAATCAGCTGTGAATTGATGGTATGTTTGGTACGATTCAGCATCGAAACCATCTGCGTTCGTTGATCGTCGTCTAGCAGTCATACTGCTACATAAAACCGGTTAGTCAGATTATGTGTCGATGGCTGCTTTTTCTTCCTTCATTTCTGTTACGACAACCGTGTAATGATTTCACACGGCGTTCTGAAATGTTTCATAATCATCCTCGTCGTTCGTTGGGTGCATTAACCTACTTTCTTTTACAAAGAACATAATTAGTGCCGATGAACAGATTCACCCAAGAGTTAGGAAAGATGCTCAAAATAACCTCTATGAATTATCCTATGTCATCTCATCAGCTTTGAGATGACCTAAGCTTAATGGAAAGTCAATTTTTACATCATTAGATAATGCACCAATCAGTCGTTTGCGTATTCTTTCATGCTGTTTGCTTTTCTTCTTCCTTCCTTCCTTTCTGCTTCTTCTTCGCCTTTCAGCCAAGTCGCTGTTCTCAACCTGTGGCTATAGCAGTGTAACCCTCTTGACCTGGTGGTGTTACCCCGTCCACATTCCACACTCAGGTGGTACATTGTCGCTAATAATCAACTCACATACACCACATCTCGACATTATCTACGTGTTTCATTGCAATGCCGCTAGCACTATGCAAATGATAGTTATTGATTACCACCCTTTGTTCTGATAGTTTCCATATATGGAAATGAATTCTTTTCCGTCCAAATAGCAAACTCATTCGTCATCATTGAGTTTATTGGTTTTTCCGCAGTTTATAGCAATGGTTTCTTACGAAATTTGTTTCAGTCAATAATATTATTTTCTTCGCCAATTTCTCTTCTTCTGTGAAACTTAATCATACCGCCAGTTCAGTGAATCGTGGCTAGAATTTCGCTGAGATGTTGGTGGGGTTTCTTGTCTTATCCCGTAAAAAGTCACTGAAGAATCCATCCTCATGTTCACATTTATTTAGAGCGATGATAGCCTAGTTGCTAAGTGTTATGCGTGGGTTCCGTGATTCACTCTGCACACCCACGGGTGCAAGCAAAAAATTTATATTCAAACTTAATTTGATTTATTTATTTATTTTATTTGAAATAACTTTTCATGATTCTTTAATTTATTTCAAATAACTTTTCATGACTCCGTAACTATCAGTGCTGAAACCTCTAAATTCTTGATGTGACGAGAGTAAAGATGGTTACTCTAATTCAACACCTTTTCCTATCGTAAACCGTGCTATAAAGCACTTTTTATAATTGCCTTCAAACATTTTTCGAATTTTCTCTTGTTTTTTATTGATCCTTATGAGCGCATCTTTGTTTAGTAGGATCATATGTGCATTGCTATGCGGGGACATATTGTTGAATGTTCATGATAGGCTCTAAGAACGACATATGTACATATATATATATATATATATATATAATATATATATATATATATATATATATTCATGAGGTGCATATATTTATACCTTTTATTTCGAGTTTTTACTAAGACCACGCTCAAATTTCAATATATCTCATAATTATTATTTGAGCCAAGAGCAATCGAGTGTCGAAAATTGCTGATCTTGTGATTTTTTACTTAACGGCTATTGTGTGAGTCGTTTGTCGTCGCTTACTTCTTTGTAAGGGGATGTAGGAGCCCTCGAGAGGACTGGCTAAAGCCAAACGGTTCTGCACGACTGACAGGGTTGCAATGTCGAAACACGTGTATCGGGCTGTACAAGGGCCCTTCAATAGGCCACATGACATATTGGCTCAAACAATAATTATGAGTGCATATACTTGTTTCAACTATTGGCAGAGACTGTTACGAAAACATTCTATTTTTTTATTCATAATGCATTGTTTGAGCATTTCATAGGACCAAGCGTGTGTGCAGGTCCGCGATTGACGTCGTTCATCCTCTACTACGTCCAGATGGCTCGAACGAATTCGGGCAGCTTTCGGCTATAGATGAATCACGACTTGACTTAGAGGTTGAGTGGCCTTCAGCAGAGACACACTGCTCAGCCGAATATTTTTATTAGCGGAATGTGATGATAGCTAATTTCATTCAGTGGACAATAATATGCCAGTAAGTTGAGCCGTCCTGAAAGGACTTTGTGAAATTGAATATCACACGCTTTCAGTGACACCATTTAGGCAATGTGTGTCGCTATTTGTTTTCCTTTCTCCTGGCTAGAATTTCTATATGTATACGATACATAAACGTCAGTGATGATTGTTTGGAGAACTGTTCGAAATCGGTGCCAAAACTTATCGCACAGAAGGAGATTGTATTATTCTATTAGCAGTACTGGAATAAAATGCCTTATCATGAGCACAAGTGCCAAAGTGATGAAGACGTTTGATCTGTCCAACTTCGAAAAACTACTTGATGGTATGCAACGATAATATCTGAAATACAAGCAGATTTGTCTTCTACTCAACAAAGCTCATTGACGAGATGTAAAGATTGTTCGACTTGTGCTGCTCGCCCCCTTATGTGGGTATTCATAAACGTCGAGCGCTGCGTGGCATTGGTTAGGAACTGTCTTCAACACAGACCGATTCGTTCAATGCCGCGCTCAAGCTCACAAACCTCCCATCCTTTCAGGGTCGCTTAATTAGTACCAGACCCGTCTAGGAGGATAGCAGCATTGACTTAAACCATCGCTAAATTACCACGAATCATCCTAAAGGCCAGAAGATATCTATTCAATCACCTCAAACGATACTAGATGAAGACAAATGCATGGTGCGCCCCTTACGGATTGATCAATGTCAGAAGCTTTATCCTTTTCTTTATCGGAGACGTCGAGAAAATGCGAAGAGATTTGTGGCCGAAAGATGCTGAGGGGTTGAGAAGAACCCGCGGTAATTGCATACAGTGGCTACATTATAGCCTTCTAAAAGTTTCCAATGTCACATGACCTCTAACGAGTACAGTACTCCTCTGTTTTCAACCTACCAGTTATTTATGTAAATTCACTTGGTTTGAGAATTTAACGAAGCGATATATGGGCTAACGAACGACTAGACATCAGACCCATTTCAGAATTATGGAATTCACAAATTGGACTTTGGAATTTGATGGGGAAATTTTACGAAAAAAATTTGAATTAAATTCGTGAAAAAAGTTCGAAGAATTCAAAAACGAAAAAGTTTTTATGAATTTTAGAATAAGAAGTAATTTTCAAAATTTATGAAATTTTTCAATTTTATGAAGTTCACGAGTACCGGTTTTTTTTTTCGCCGTAAGTGATTGAAATGGCCCCATTTTTTTTCGTTTGCAAAGTCGGAACTAGTACACATTGACCTATTTATTCATAACTAGTACACATTAACCTAGTTTGGAGCTCTCATCATGGAATCCTGAACTTTTCCTGTTGTCTTCGGAGTTTTCTTACGATTTCTCTCTGGCTTAGCTTAATATTTGCTACCAATCATTAGTTTATAGGTTTACCGATCCATAGGTGGCAATGAATAGTGACGCACATCATTGGGAACAAGGCTTGGTCTCCTCCGCAATGTTCTCCCACAAAATCACATGAGGACGTCTTAGTTCTGTCATACCCAGGATCAAATGGAGAGTAGTCTCGTGCCGCATCTACATTATTCATTAAGAAGACGAAATTCTCAAGCAGCAACCCAAGTAGCACAAGAAATGCTTGGAGACCTTTGTGGAGGATGAATGCGCGGAGGGAAGAATTTGGAAAAATAGAACAGCAGATGTGCTATGATCCGCTATGACGTGCTATGACGACACTTGTGTAAAAAAGTATGCTTTATGTTCAGAAGAGCAGAATTAAAGAATTCTTTCATAACTTAATTGGACGGCTTAGCTTCAGATGAAATATCTAGGTCCAGCATAATTCTCATTGGGTTGATATTTCAATGTTTAGAGATTTTCTCATTGAATTTCATAGATAGTTGTGTTATATAACGGTTCCTGTCAAGCTTTACATAGTTTAAAATTGATCTACCATTGAGCTCAGCTAGCTTATATCTGAAAGACGAATCGTGTTAGAAGAACGTGCATCAATGTACCACATACTAAAAAGCCTTGTGTAGCATTATGAATGAAATTGATATTTGCGCTTTTTGGTTACAATAATGAAGTGAGTTAGCTGCTAATGAATGAACATTGACGATTAAAACTCAAATGGAAATGTTTTTCAAATGTGAATAAAACTCCTTTTTATTTAATTGCTTCTACCGGTGATATGATGTTACAAATATGCCTACTGATGTAGAGTGTTGTGCAAAACATTTGCGTCAGGTGGGACTCGAACCTGCATTTCACCCAATCTAGAGGCACGTGCTCTCTCCCTTGCACCACCGACGCCTGCTTTTCGCGCCACCGGATTGAGTGAAATGCGAGTTCAAGTCCCGCTTGACGCAAATGTTTTGCACATCACTACACCGATGGGTATATTTTTCAGGACCATTGGCTGAGTCAAATTCAGAAATGTCGCACTGTTGTGCTTCATTATTTTGATTAGTAGATGTATATAAACAAAAAATGGCAGTGACACAATCAAGAGTAAGAAATATTCTTTCTTGCCATTTGCATTTTTCTGGATATTTTAGATTCAATTTTATTCCCGGACTTTTTATCCACCATGCACTTCTGACTGATTGCCGCCGTCACGGTTGCAGCGGTCTGAGAGAAAATGCCCATTTAATAATGCTGTCTGCTGAGAGCTGCAAAATGTCGCAAGCATTCGAATGATGTGACTGTGCAGTGGAAGAGAATGAAGAAATTCTTAGCTCTTAGACGCTTTCCATTATCTTACATCTTTATTCAATGGCCACTCACGATTAGTTCATTTGTTCGCGAGAGTTCTCATTATTTGGCTAAGGTTTCATTTCGTCAGTTATGCAAGTCTGCAAAGAGAAGTGACTTCTGGCCGTTTTCAATTATTTAGACAAATCATTTAATGATTCATTTGTCAGTCATGTACTACTAATTGACTACTTGCATTCTGTTGTGGTGAATTTGTTGCGGTCTTTTGTCAATCAATTAAAAAAACCTTAATTGCTTTAGCTTGCCCTTTATAGATAGAATGACAAATGCGTTTCAAAGTCTCTATGACAGAAATAGAAAGCTGTAAAGCATGATAAGCTTTAGTGTGTCTTAGTTTTTCTGAGGTTTTGGTTTCTTTGTAGCAGAAAAGTATGCTGTGAATACTTAGTTCTTCCATATAAGATTCATCTGAAAGGCCTCCGTACCAAGAGAAGTTCTCCATCTTGGATTTTCGCTTAAGTTCCATATTATAATATCCTAAAATATTCTATGTATAATACCCTACATAATGTTTCGTTTTCATTTCAGTGTGCACGCGTGCGATCAATTTCATGAGACCTCTAAACTCCTTGATGTTTTTTGTCTGATGAATATTTCCGAATTCATCTACTGACCACAAGTTCATCGTCTTCTTTGTTCATAGCTCGTCTTTTTCCTTGCTTTCCTCAAATGGAGATTTTTTGCATGATTAAACAACCCAATTTCCTTCACCTCATCCATCCGTCACATGCTATAGTCATCTTCTCATTGTCTTAAATGAAGTGATTCAAATGAGAAATGTTTATCTCAGTGTGAAAGTGTAATCACTGTTTTTCTCATTAAGCAAACGCGAAGTTGTTATTGTAATGTGTAATGTGAAAGTGTAATCTATTAAGTTTCTGATTGACATCGTTAGTAATATGTTTGACATACTCTTCTCTTAGTTCTAAGCAGGTTTCAGTCAAACGACTATTTATATATAGAAATATGTTCTTTCATATGATTCTCTATCATTTTCAAGTGGAATATTTCTTGATCATTCTTCATCTCCTCTATCCTTACTCGACTATTGAAAATCGACCTCTGATGCTCTGATGCTCCTATGCTTTCAAATTGCAGAATGTGAGTTCTACTTGTTGTCATCAATACTACCAGTTCATTGAACAGTTGCTCTATTCAAAACATTCCACTTAAGTCTCAATTTTTTTTCTTAATATTGTAAAGATGACATCTCCCACAATAAACTTGGTTATGAGTTTTCTTTTGTAAGTCACCTTTACTGTGTGTTTCTTTTTTTCATCTGTCGATGTCATTTGAGCTAAACGCCAGAATAGTTGACATACTTCTGACAAACCACAGAGTTTAGCTCGTGCCAGATAGATTAAGCCTTTCTTCTAGCCTCTAGTCCCTCGTCTTTATCCGTAATCCGTTGCATTTCGCAATGTTCTCCTGCATTGTCGGGGGAATGTGAAAAAAAGAAAAAAGCTGCCTCGGGGCATTTCGAGGCAGTGTTTGTTGTCACAGTGTTCAGCCGCTTTCTCTCTCCATCTTATCAAAGAGCAATTGCTTCTCCTTTTGAATCCTTTTTTAGCCTGGTATACGCATATTTGTCATTCCAGTCCTATGATTAGCAATAGAAGTCTTAGTGTTCTGGAAATCCTTTTCTTTGTCTATAGAATGCGCTCTATTTCAGTGTATTTGTTTCGGCACAAGAAGACGATAAGATCGAAAGAACAACATCAGCCGTGGGTTTTGCAGTTTCGTCATGTCGACAGGTACACCGTGTTTAGTATCTTCGTAAAGGTCACGAATAGTCAATATTGAAGAACTACTCAATTGCCGCTTCTATAGCTTTTTTTTCTGTGAGATTTTATCAATTCATGGATGGATGCGGCACTAAGATGTAATATTGTTCGTATGACAGGGTTGCAAAGTCTAGTCTCCTACTGAGTGTGTCAAATTGTTTTGAAAACGCCATCTTAGGATTTGAATTGTGAGCGGTTCCGCTGTCTACACACTTAAACTGCATTCCGATAAAGTGTGAAACGGAAAGATAGTTGGAGTGTTACGGATCGAACCATAGTTTTTAGTCCGCTTGACGACTGTAACATTCTTTGAGAGTCTCAAAGATGTTATCTTTTCTCTGTTTTCTTCCTTCTTAAATTGATCAACTTTGTTGACCGAACGGCTCAAGAACGTATAAGATGTTCCATTTAGTATAGCACAAGATGTGGTCCCCATCTTTGTTTGTTTATCAAATAATATTCATACTCCTTCCTAAGCTGCATTCATGTCTTAGTTCATTTTTTGTCTAGGCACAATAGTTGTTCCATTTGAACCCTCAAAGAATCGTTTCTGCATTGGTGCTATAATTAAGAAGTGCGGATCTGGTCAAATCGAAATGGAACTATCAGGATACGTGATTTTGCTCCGCATCAGTGATTGCATGAGCCACTGTAGAGTAGATAGGTGAAAGAGAATGTGGTTTCGGCGACGAATACCTGGCTCATTCGATTTGTGGGGACTGGACATTCGATTGTGGGAACTGGACGGAAAGAATGTAGAAGTGGTGCTATAATGATGTCTTTCAAAAATATTCTTGTGAAGAAGATTTAGAGCTGATTTAGAGTCCTCATTTGTTGAAAGCTCACGTTACTTCAGTAGTGCTCCTGTAATGGAACACTTTCTTTTTGCATATTCCAAGATGAAAGGCAAGCAAACAGTTAATTTTAAAAAATCCATCAATTCTGTGACGATGTCGGTGCGCCTGAAGAAGATTCCGGGTAATTCGGTTCGTTCCTAGGCTTAGTTCATGATCTTATAGATTGTCCGTATTGTTTGGTATTGGTGGTATTCAGTTGTTTGAACTCTTGATTATGATAATTGTGCTGTCAGTGGACTTGCATTTGAAAAATCATTACATCACCTATGTGTTATGGAGCCCGAACGATTTCCTTGTGACTTGTTTGTGCTAGAATTTTATAAGTAGCACTCTTATAACCAGTTATGAAACATTGATTCTTCAGCTATCCCAAAAATTTTCCTATAAATTTCATCAATTTTGCGACTCTCCGAATTATTGCCTGCTCACGTTGATCACAATTTCCAGCACATGTCGACACAGAAACTGAGTCATTCTTTTTTCATTGTTAGTACTTTTTCTATATAATTTTGTGGTTTCAAATGTTTTTGAAGTAATTCTGTAGTAATTGTTATGCAACGAAATCTGGGACGCGTTACATGTTGTTTTCTTGTGCGGACAACTCGTTTTCCGAGACTGATGTAGTTTTTTCTCAATATCACTACGGATTTTTTTCAATGGAGCGTTACAAGAATACTGTAGTGATCAAAGTTTCAAAAATGTCTAGGACTTGTTCCGATATTTATCTTTCACAACTGTTTGAAATGATGTTACGATTCCGACATCAGAGCCGATTGCCTTCTCAGATTAGTTTCGTGAGAGCACTGCTCCGTAAAATTCCATAGGACCATTTCCATTTCCATCATTTCTTTTTTTATGTGTTTTTTTTCTGACGTTTACGTATGCACCGGCCCTTCCTAGATCGCTACCAATTACGTGTCGATTCACTGACGCGACATATTGAGTGGTTACTATTGAACAGAATCTTTTTTTCTAAGGCAGGAGGTCCAAGTAAAAGATAATTAGACGATAACAAATGACGTATGAAGTCGGTGAATTGTACAGCGGAGTTATTCTCGACAAAACCAGTACTATTGACATTCCCGTTTGGACTCATTTCTCCAAGTTGGGCACAGATGTTCCTCATTTTTTGTTCGTTTCTTCATGATGCTAAAAACCACCTTCTTTCGACAGGGCTAGCACTGTTGTCGTTGATGCTTGTAAAATCTTCTTTGAGTCATTTTCCTCTATTATGCCATCAGTTTGATAAGTGTGTTAAGAAAACCGTGAGCTTCTTCAACATTCACATCTTTCATCTCACAGAGACACAGGTTTGCGTTGTATAAACAAAGTATTGAATCACATCAGACAATTGAATATTATGGTATTGAATTTTTTAGTCATTGTGAGCTAGTTATTGACTAATTAGACGCAAGCATTCTGCAACATATAGTTGCACTTGTCTATCAAAAGTACTAGAAATTTCAATACGAATTGTGTTATATTTTGACAGATTTCAATTTCTTTCCAAGCGCTCTACGAAGAAGAGATCAAGGGTAAAATGGGACCATATAATGCGGAGGTTATATTATGATTTCAAGAGTGTGATGTTTTTCATATATTTATGAGAGAGAAAAAAAAATCTCGAGAGTGGCCCAGTTTCAAGTTATGAGTTCACACCAGTGAATATATCTCAGTTATTGTATGTTTAATGTTGTGAATGTGTCACATCTATTGTGCTGCTGTTGTCTTTATGACGCATGGGTTCGTTCACCTTGAGTCGTAATGTAACTGGTTTCTTGTCATACCATTGACTGTCATTCAACGTTTATATTTGTCCTACATAGTTTGCGTAGGTGGTCCTTTCAATTAGCGTTGGCTTCAATATCAAATACTCTTATAAATATGATAAGTTAAC